GTGCCCCCCGCCCGCCGCCCCCCCCCCCCCCCCCCCCCCCACCCATGGCGCCTGCCCTGCGGGGTGAGGCTGCAGCCTTTAACCGTCTGCTCCGACTCCACACATCAGAACTCCACTTCAGTTTACTGGAAACTTTAACATGTCACCATTTAAGATAGTGGTTCTAGATCCTATAATCAGGGTGGTGCCGTTTCACTCCAGTAGTTTTACAGAAATGCGGGTACGCACTCAATGTAAACAAAGATGTTCTGCTCAACGAATCTGAGGGTAAATATGTCAAAATTGTCTAACTGTCAAAACAGCTGTTTCTTGGGATTCACCATCATTGACCTATTGTATTATTATTTTATTCATTGTACTTTATTAATCTCAAGTGGAGAAAGTAATTGTCTGCATTTTTCCCATTGCGCATGCGAGCACACATGAAGCAGGGCTGACATCTAAAATGTGCCCAGGGAGCAGCTTAAGGGCCTTATGGGTCCAGAGTGGGGCAAATGATGGTGGACCCATTTTGATGTTGTCCATCAGGAGGATTGACCGGCGACCCTCCGATCACAGGCCCACCCTCTCTAACCTTCAGTCACTTTGGCTGTCTTGTAGGTAAACAAGCTAACGTGGTAGTTAGCAGCCGTTCCTAAAATTTACTTGCATTTGTTTTCAGGACAAATTAACGATCAACATCATCAATGTTAAACTTTCCATGTTTGTTTTAGAATGGCTTGCAGACTGTTTAACCATTTTGCATGAGTCATAACAAAAAATGCATTTGTTCACACCTCTTAAATAATTTGCATATCTATAAAATGAAGCATTTGTTATGAGTGTAGTGTTTTAGATTATTGTATGATGTGATATATTCAGCTTTTTATGATTATAACCTTGTGTTTTTCAGCACATATCGCAGCAATGCTACAATATAAAAGAGTCTTGCTGGTGAATAGGTGTGTCTGCTGAACAGGCCTCGCAACTGTTGCAACAACGTTAAAATACAGTTTAATTGGTTGATTAATTCCTAGCTTTTATAGCTTCTATTTGCACGTGTGCTCAGTGTTTAATCAGAAGTTTATAATTGTATCTTTTCTGTTTGCAGACCATGTGAACAACAGGACGTTTGACCGTGCAGCAACATCACACGTGTAAGTAATGATCTGATGTTACTCTTTGTTTTTATTTAAAGCTATATAAATAAACTGTAACAGATGGAGAGACAAGCTCTAAAATCCTAAACATGACTTCAAAAATAATCACCTCTTTAAAGGATTACACACATAATCTTTTTATTTTATTTTATTTCATTTTATTCTAATTATGATGCAATCATGTACTGTAATTTTCACACTATAAGGCACACTTAAAATCTTTTCATTTTCTCAAAAATCGACAGTGAACCTTATAGTCAGGTGCACCTTATGTATGTAGTGAACCAGATGACCTCAAATCTACCAGATGGACAGAGACTGTTATTTTCATTGATCTGAATAAGTCTGAACCATCTGATGAACTTTCTTTCTTGAATTAATCAAGCAGAAAAGACAATCCTCTATAATCATTACTGTCTTACAAATGTTTTGATAATCAAATTGTGTTAGTTCACTCAATGCTTTACTATTTGAAAAGAACTACTAATTTTTATTTTACATAAACAGTAAGTAATGATTTTTGTTCCTCATTCAAAGCAGAAATCACCTGAATATGCCTTTCTTGATTTTTCTGTCTGAAATGAGCAAGCTGTCGTAAGTATGTGAAAGGTTGGTCTTCGGTCAACTAAAATGTTTACTGAAGAAGAAATGTCATGTTTAAACTTTTTCAGAAGATTACTAAGAGTAGACTCCAAAAAGTCTGCTGCTTCTGCAATAATCTTTTCTGTATGTTAAACAAGTTTCATTCTCTGACCTCGACTGTTGATAAACACCTTACGTCAAAAACCACTCCTCTTTCTGGTCCTTCCACGAATCAGAAAGCTCTAAATTGAACAGGAAGTCGACCCAAATAAAATGTGGCAACTCCCCAGTTCAAGTTAGATTGAGAGTTCTGAGAGATGTTGGATTGAGAGCTGACAACAGGTCCGATAGTCCAACAGAATGAGCAGATTGAGAGTGCAGCCGGTTCTGAAAGTTTCAGAGCAATGAAGAATCCAGAGGTTTTGGGATTATAATTCTGTTTTGAACTAACCACGCACGACTCTTCGAGGATTTTAGCTGTTTTCAACGGAGACGCTGATATCAGTTGAAAAGGATTCCTACTGAGCTGATCTATCATCAACCAGGTAACGGCCTCTTCTTCGACTAAAGTGTACCGTGGACAGGCTGGAGATCTGACGGAGCGTGCAACTTCTGGTCAAACAGATTAAATTCCCTCACACATTTCCTCTGTAAGATAAATCTCAATTTACTCTTAAACTCACCTCTCTCTCATAAAACAGTACAGATATTTTTAGAAATGTCTGAAGCAAAGTCCTCAAATCACCGCCGAGTGATTTGAAGTTCATTTTCTGTGAAACTGTCTGTTATTATTTTCATATTTTGCCAAATTAATGTAAATGTTTGATGTTAAACTTTGATTTTGAAAATAAATGATTCCATTCATTTGATGGGTCAAAGATAAATAACGTCTCTCGTTCACATTTCTGTTAAATTCAATGCACGGCATTTACAGTCAGAAAAATGAAGAACTCGTGAATATTGTATGCATATATAATTCATATATTTGTCATACAACAAGTGACACGTACCTCACGTGTATCACTACATGTATTAATTCTGGTTGTGATTACTGACCTCGAATCAATTTTATATGGTTATTGTGAACGAGTTGAATAAAGTTTGACTTGTCTGACTGTTTTGTTTCGCTTAATGCGCCGTATAATTGGCTGTGCCGTATAGTCTGACAAATACAGTACGTTCACTTTTTTATCTCTTCTTTTTTGCAGTCACCTTTGAGCTGCTCCCACATATCTGCAACCATGACGGCGGAAGAGACCATCAACATCAAGGAGGTGGAGGTGATCAAGCTGATCCTGGACTTCCTGAACTCCAGGAGGCTTCACATCAGTATGCTGGCTCTGGAGAAGGAGAGCGGGGTTATAAACGGACTCTACTCTGACGACATGCTCTTCCTGAGGTAGGACAGCAGAACTTTCAGGAAGGAACCTGGACGGGCACTTTAATTATTTTTTTTTTTTTACATTTACTGTAGTTTTGAACATGTATCAGAGAAATATAACAGATTATCATTGTTACTTTGAACAGGCAGCTCATTCTAGATGGCCAGTGGGAGGAGGTGATGCAGTTTATTCAGCCTTTAGAAGGACTGGACAAGTTTGACAAGAAAAGGTCAGTTTTATCTACATGTTGTGCACCAGCATGTGAAATATTGAGAAACTGAGGCCTATTTGAAATTGAAGCGATTGCAGTTTGTGTTATATTCAGTGCTTTAATAAATTCAACCGTTGTAGTCAGAGTCAGAGTTTCTTTATTGTCATTCGCACCTCATGTGGTACATGTGGTGGAGCGAAATTATGTACACGGGGTCCCAGTTACATCCAACAATAAAATGTCTAAGAAAAACAGTAATAACATCTAAGATATGAACTAAGAAAAACATCAACTAAAAATACACTAAGCACTCATAACATAAAACATTGAACATCAGCACAAACATGAACATGAGTCTGTGAGCAGATGTGCACGCATGAACACATCAACAATTTTGATGTACCAGGTCTCTTTTCGATTCCTATCACCCTTCATTTAAAACAGAAGGACACATTACACACACATTACAGGACAAGGACACATTACATTTCATAATCCAACATTTTTCAGTCAGGTCATCTGGACAGTTTCTTTTTTTGTGCTGAAATGTTTCGCTTTCGATCCAGAAGGCTTCATCAGTAAAGGAAACGCACAACAAAACTGATTCTTCCTCCAACAGCTTACTCCAAAGGGGAACAAACCAGTTCTACTTGACTGATGAAGCCTTCCGGATCGAAGGTGAAACGTTTCAGCACAATAAAAGAAACTGTCCAGATGACCTGACTGAAAAATATTGGATTGTATACCTGGATTATTGAGCATGGACTTTGTTGTTTTCAACCAGTTTGACAAGACTGTCAACAAGGAAAAGGGCCGGCAATGGAGGAGGGGGCGTACCAAAGAGACCATCTTATCACAAGCAGAACTGGTTTGTTCCACTTTGGAGTAAGCTGTTGGAGTAAGAATCAGTTTTGTTGTGTGTTTCCTCGACTGATGAAGCCTTCCGGATTGAAGGCGAAACGTTTCAGCACAAAAAAAAGGAAACTGTCCGGATGACCTGACTGAAAAATGTTGGATTTTATACCTGGATTATTGAGCATGGACTTTGTTACATTTCATAATGTTTTCATTGTTTGTTGTTTTTTGTTTAGGTTTCGTTACATAATCCTGAAGCAGAAGTTTCTGGAAGCTTTGTGTGTGAATAATGCCCTGTCAGCTGCTGAGGATCCTCATAATGTATGTAAAGAAATGATTAAAGAGTTCAGTTTGAGTCGTCGTAGTTAATGAAAAGCAGCCAGGACTAGAAATGAGACATGCCAGCTGTTTCTGGAGTGGCATGCTTTGTAGAAAAAAAAAAATAATTTGAACCTTATTTATGCACAGAGAATGCATCCTAATTTAGATAAGGAGAAAATTCAAAAATTGTAACATTAATTTGTGTGCAATAAAGTAAATGTAGCTTTTTCTGATTGCTATTTCATTGCTATTGATTTAAGCAACTAATGCACTTTAATTGGCAGCAGGCGTAAGTGTCATCCCATCAAAAGCCTCAGTGGTTTTCCTGATTTCCTTCCCTCTACAGCTGGAGCACACCATGCAAGAGGCAGTCAAGTGCCTCCACAGTCTGGAGGAATTCTGCCCAACCAAAGAAGACTACAGCAAGTTGTGTCTCCTCCTCACCCTGCCTCGCCTCACCCATCACGCTGAGTTCAAGGACTGGAACCCGAGCACGGCGCGCGTCCATTGCTTTGAGGAGGCCTGTGTGATGGTAGCAGAGTTCATCCCTGCAGACAGGAAGCTGAGCGAGGCTGGCTTCAGAGCGAGCGGGAACCGCCTCTTCCAGCTGCTCATCAAGGGGATCCTTTACGAGTGCTGTGTGGAGTTCTGTCAGGTAGTGAATGGGGAAATGAACCGTCTCGTAACTTGTACAGATATTTTAAAAAGAGTATATTGACCAGCTCATGGTCAATAATCCAGGTAAAAAAATTCAACAAAGTTCAGTCAGGTCATCTGAACGTTTCGTACTTCATCCAAAGGACTTCATCAGTCTGAGGAGCAAACTCAGTCCCACACGCAGCACACTCACAAACTTACCAGTTTGCTAGTAATAAGATTGTTTCTGGGGCCCGCCCTCTCCTCCGTCGATTCCTCTGAGGCAGCCATAGCCAAAGTGGTTCAAAACATCAAATTTTTTTTTACCTGGATTATTGAGCATGAACTTTGATGTTTTGAACCACTTTGGCTATGGCTGCCTCAGAGGAGTCGACGGGGGAGAGGGCGAACCCTAGAAACCATCGTCTCACCAGCAAAACGGTTGGTCCACTATGTGAGTGTGCTGCTTGTGGGATTGAGTTTGTTGTGGCACCTTGGACTGATGAAGTCCTTTGGATGAAGGCCAAAACATCTCAACAAAAAAGAAACCGTCCAGATGACCTGACTGAACTTTGTTGGATATATGGACCAGCTTTAAGTGACGGTGAACGTATTTTTGTATACAAATTATTAGGCTAAAAGTGCAAAACAAGTAATAAGACCTTAGATAAATATTGTTATTAACTGATTCTTATATATCCGAATGTTTCTGTTCAGTGTCCTGAGACAACTTCTGTTGTGAATCGGCGCTATATAAATGAAATGAATTGAAATTGAATTGAAGTTTAATTGTGGTTCAAAGCGTCAAAGTGTTTTTTATTTCTTTCTAGAGTAAAGCAACAGGTGAGGAGATCCGAGAGGGTGAGGTGTTGCTCGGTGTGGATTTACTCTGCGGAAACGGCTGCGACGAGCTAGATTTGTCATTGTTCTCCTGGCTGCAGAACCTCTCTTCAAGCGCTTTCACTTGTTCCTTTGAGCAAAAAACCCTCAATATCCACGTGGACCGCCTGGTGAAACCCAGCAAGGCTGGACACGCTGACCTCTTGACTCCATTAATCAACCGTCTGTCCCCGTGTCCGACCTCACCCTTTCACCAGAGACCTCATTCAGCCGACACCTACATGTCCAGATCCCTCAACCCGGCCCTGGACGGCCTGTCCCATGGACTGGCGGCTCAGGATAAGAGGAGCATGGAGAGCAACATGAAGTCTGCTCTGAGCCGCAGTCTAGTGGAGAATAATCTGCATCTGCAAGATGATTCACCTGAGAGGTGACGAGCAAACCTTAGACAGTTTTTGTTGTGTTGTTTGGAGTTCTGGATTAGTGGGACTGAATGCAGCATGTGTCTGCAGAACTGCAGCAAATAGCAAGTATGATCCAGTGAAACACGTCAGATTGATATAAAGATGTTTGAAGGTACTCATGGCAGTGTCATAAAGACTGATGATAAAGTGAGAAATTAAATATGTACATTTTACTTTCTCTTATGGATTATTAGTCCTTAAAATAAAAATAAATATATAAGGACATTTTGTGAACAGTTGTAAACACAATTTGCATTTGTTCACCTACAAAAACAGCCGAAGTTTCTGAAAACAGATACAACAATGGCAACATCCTTGAAAGATCCGTTAGACAATTTCAATTTATTGCTACACATTTACACTCAGATTTGTCAAGTAAAGTATGTAGATAAAAGATTTGTGTACATTGAGTGTGTACCTGTATTCATGGATAGTTTATCAGTATATGTGATAAACTACTGGAGTAAACTCTGTCAAACGGAACCATTTCATATAGTTCAGAACAACATTGTTTATTACTTTGGCTACAATCAAGTCAAGTTTTAAATAACCATGGCATTGTTTAATTCTTTAAAATCAACCTAAATAATCCGAAACTTCCTAAATAATCCGCTTTGAGTATCTTGATAAGGTAGAAAGGTGCTGTACAAGTACAGTCCATTTACTTTTTCTGAAATATGTTGACAAACTGACTTTAGTAACTCTTTTTTTTCTTTCCGGTCTTTAGGAAGCACCCACAGAGAGTGGTGGATGGACCCAACACCAAGCGCACCCCTTTGACTCCTGGAAAAGACGGTGGACCACCCTGCAACACAGAAGCACCGGAGGTAATATATATACACCATTAATGGCAGCAGGTGATTTGGATTCCTCTAAGCCTAAGGAATGTAAGACCTTTATTTTTGTTGCTGAAATAATAAAGGTCAGGAGTGGTTCATCATGCACTTTTCTCTGGTCACTTGGGTCAAAGTCAGTCTGAACTTAGTGCTGCAGATGATGTAAAATTGACCCCATCCCCCCAAGCCCCTGAACTGCTTGATCTCAATCCATAAATCTTGTCTGAATTCTGTGTATGAAGCTCTTGCACCTCGCTGCCCCCCTGTACCCAGAGTAGGAGGTGTAGATCATGGACACTGGAAGCACATAATCTGATTTGATGTGTGGTCATTCCCACGATGGCCCGCTCGCTCCCATCATCGCTCATCTTTATGCATCCCATTTCTCATCTACTGGAGCAAAGTACTTTAAGATGAGATTATTTTGTGTGCATGTTGGGGGGAATAAAACTGTAGACTGGCCTGATGTGACGAGGCCCTTGAATAATTGTTTATGGGATGGATGATGGAGGCCACGGCCTTGGGAGTTGAAACGTTAGAAGTGGCTCTTAAAAAAAGCTTGACGAGGAATAATGATTCAGGTTGCAACGCCCGCTAAAGATGGAAAGAACGTGCATGTTTCCATGATTTCCACAACTTCTTATGTCCTTCTGGCTCAGAGTCCGTGTGTGTTTGTGTGTTCAGCTCCGTGAATCCACAGAGCACATCCAGGAGTATTACAGGCAGCGTCTCCGTGTGCAGCAGCACTTGGAACAGAAGCAGCAGCAGAAGCAGCTCTATCAGCAGATGCTGCTGGAGGGAGGCGTCAAGCCGCAGGACGAAGCCCAACACAACCTCACCGAGACGTTCCTGAGCAGGTGAGGGAGCCGAACTTCAACGATCAGTAACACTGGTGGGAGTGGTGCTGCAGGAGATGCTGTCTTTTGTTTAGATCCATTCAGAAGTTGGAGGAGATGAATGTCGGTATCGATCCCAAAGGAGAGGAAGCGATGTCAAATCTGGGTCAGCAGTGGAACGGACTGACAGGAAACAGCAGCACTTCAAACTCCAGGACCACGAATGACCGACACAGCACTGAAAAAGGGCCTGTGAGGGAAAAGGCAGGTGAGGTGAGCTGCAGCTCTGGGAGCCACGGCTTGTCGTCACTCAATGAGTCGACACTTCCTAAAAGTCAAAGGTGAGATTCTGCAAGTGTCTCATATCAGATTTCACAGATAGATCCACTAAAATAACTTGAAAATATGCAAGGATTTAAGTGCTACTTCATTAATATTGCATTTTATATTTCATAAGTTGGTCATTAAAAATAAACTTTCTGCTTTACTGCCAAAAAATCCCCAATCTTAATTCATGAATTTTATGTGCAATATAGTGTTTTGTTTTGGGATGGTAAACAGATTATGTACAATTAAACATGGATCTATTTTTGTCAGCGCTGAAAGAATCAAAGCCACCACAGTTCAAGATGATTGTGGCTCGTCGACAACACGAAACATGCATGAGGTAAGACAGTCAAGAAATGTAATATTTTTTATCATTTTTAAATCACTTACATGATCATTCTGAGTGTAATAAATTCATAGTTTATAGCTTATCAAGGTTCAGAGTTATTTATTGTCATTCGCATCACATGTGGTACATAAGGTGGGACGAAATAGTATACTTGAGGTCCCAGTTACACCCAAAAATATCAAAAATGTAAAGTATAAAAAGAAACAGTATACAGTACAATAATGCTGGATCCAGGACAGTGGCCCCATACTGAGAGATTGTTTTGATCGAACAGACTGGCAGGTTTTCAGAGAAGCTGCTGAAAATGGAGGTTCGCTTGATCTTGACCAATACACATCCTCAGTACTGGGTTACATTAGTACATGTACTGACACAGTCTCCACTATCAGATATGTTAAAAGCTACCCAAACAGAAAACCTTGGCTGAATGCAGAGGTGCGTACCCTGCTGGAAGCCAGGAACACTGCCTTCAGGTCTGGAAACTCAGAGGAGCTGAGTAGGACAAGAAAAGAGCTGGTTGCTGGTATTAAGAGGGCCAAGGCCACATATGCAAAGAGGATCGAGGGTCAATTCATCTCACAAGACCCTCGGAGCATGTGGAGGGGCATTAAGTGCATAACAGATTATAAAGGAAGGAGTGAACAATGTCCCAAAGACCCATCTCTGCCTGATGCCCTCAACAAGTTCTATGCACGCTTTGAAGACCCGAACAGACCACCCAGCACCAGACTCACCTCACCACCGGATGAAGAGCATCTCAGCGTGACCTCAGCAGAAGTAAGGAGTACCTTCAGGGGATTAATCCGCACAAGGCAACTGGCCCAGACAACATCCCCGGAAAAGTGTTGAAGGAATGTGCTGATCAGCTCTGTGAGGTGCTGGCAGACATCTTTAACACCTCACTTACCCTGGAGACAGTTCCCACCTGCCTGAAGACTGCCACCATCATCCCAGTCCCAAAAAGCTCTACAGTGACTGGTCTGAATGACTATCGGCCAGTGGCCCTCACCCCGATAGTCGCTAAATGCTTCGAAAAACTGGTCATGACTCACATCAAAACAACCATCAACATCAACGAGGACCCTCATCAGTACGCATACCGTGAGAACCGATCAACAGAGGATGCAATCTCCTCTGTGGTCCACACTGCGCTCAACCACCTGGAGCAGAAAAACTCTTACGTCCGTATGCTCTTTGTGGACTTCACATCCGCCTTCAACACCATGATCCCCCAAACCCTGATGGACAAACTATCCACACTAGGACTAAGCCCCTCCATTTGCAACTGGGTACTAGACTTTTTAACAAACAGACCACAGTTAGTGAGGATCCACAACCTCTCCTCCTCCACCATAACCCTCAGCACTGGCTCTCCTCAGGGATGTGTGTTGAGCCCCCTCCTGTTTACTCTGCTCACATATGATTGTGCAGCTACCCATCCAGGCTGTCACATTGTAAAGTTTGCAGATGATACAGCGGTGGTGGGATGCATCACAAACAATGATGAGTCCAGCTACAGGCAGGAGGTGGAACACCTGGAGAGCTGGTGCAAAGAGAATAACCTTCACATCAATGTGAAGAAGACAAAGGAGATGATTGTGGACTTCAGAAGGAACAAAAACACCTACACCCCCCTGAACATAAGAGGATCTGCGGTGGAAGTGGTCTCCAGCTACAAGTACTTGGGTGTACACATGAATGACAACCTCAGCTGGAGCAACAACACCACCAGCCTGATCAAGAAAGCTCATCAGAGACTCTACTTCCTCAGACGGCTGAGGCGAGCTGGTCTGGGAAGCTCAGTCCTCACCTCCTTCTACAGGTGTGCAGTGGAGAGCATCCTGTGCTCGAGCATCAACGTGTGGCATGGAGGCTGCACAGCTGCAGAAAGAAAAGCTTTGCAGAGAGTGGTGAAGGCTGCACAGAAATCTGTTGGAGTCAGTCTCCCCACCATCACAGACATCTACACCTCCAGATGCAGGAAGAGGGCCACCTGCATCATGAAGGACCCCACCCACCCAGCACACACACTTTTTGCCCCACTCCCCTCAGGAAGGAGGTTAAGGAGCATTAAGTGTAGAACCACTAGACTAAGGAACAGCTTCTACCCTGAGGCTGTTAGACTCATGAATCTCTAACTAGAATAATCACTGTGAAAAACCATATCATGTTGCTGCTGATCTGTTTCATGTTGCTGCTGATCTGTTTCAATGTTGATGTGTTCATGCGTGCACATCTGCTCACAGACTCATGTTCATGTTTGTGGTGATGTTCAATGTTTTATGTTATGAGTGCTTAGTGTATATTTAGTTGATGTTTTTCTTAGTTCATATCTTAGATGTTATTACTGTTTTTCTTATACATTTTATTGTTGGATGTAACTGGGACCCCGTGTACATAATTTCGCTCCACCACATGTACCACATGAGGTGCGAATGACAATAAAGAAACTCTGACTCTCTGACTCTGACTCTGAATCTAAGATATATTCTAAATGCTTATCTTAAATACTACAGCAGATTTGAATGTTTTTGACGTATAAAACGGGGTTAAGGAGTTTTTTTTTTTCCTGATTTTGTTCAGTTAGGAAAGCCCAAAACACAGTTTGTGAAGGTGAGTCAGCTCGAGGACACACAGGCCGTGCGCGCTGTGGCTTTTCATCCGTCTGGAGCGCTGTATGCTGTCGGCTCCAACTCCAAAACACTGAGAGTGTGTGCATACCCAGAAACACTGAGCCCCAGGTAGGCACCATGTACACATGGCAAAAGAAGACGTTGTTTTATTACTGAGCAAGTAAACAAAACATACCCATAATGTTATTAATATCAGTAGTTTTTGTTAAAATTATACAAAAGTGAGCGTTTTATTAATCTCAAACTTGCTGTACAGTAGTCCCTCGATACCTCGCGGTTTGACTTTCGCGGATTCACTCTTTTGCAGGCTTTTCAATGTAAGATTGTACACGATAAACGATTGGCGATGGGGAAAGACAGACCCCCCCTGACTTTTCCTTTCTCTTTCTGAGGCTATCTGTCACTGGTGGACGTGCAAGAGACAGTTTCAGAAAAAGAAAGGATGGGGCGGGGTTTGTCTTTACCCATCGCTACTGCTCAGGGAGCAGGAATGAACAGATCAGATGAACAAAGGTAGAATATCGAAGAAAATGCTTACATGGAAAAATAAGACTGAATCAGTTTTAAAAAAGAGAGACAGAGTGGCTGAGCACAGCTGAGTGTGTCTCATTCAGGTATAAGACAGACACACACACCTCTTTCTTTCTCTTTCTGAGGCTGTCTGTCATAGGCGGGCATGCAACAGACAGCCTCGAAAAAAGAAAGGATGGGCAGGGGTTTTGTCTTATACCTGAGTGAGCAGCACAAGCAACATGGATTGTTTATTTAAAATAATCAAGTGCAACTCAAACCAAGCCATTAGTCCAGCCCCTAGGCAATCACTGAGTGGGCCAGGCCACCGGGAAATGTCCCGGTGCTCCCGATGGCCAGTCGGATTGGCTCAGTAACCATAGTATCTATCAGTCTGTCTGCTCTCTTTCGCTGTTCTCTTTTAGAGCATTTAGAGAGTTTAGAACATTGTTAAGAACATTGCAAGAGCGTGGGAAGGGTTTATAAAGCCTTAAAATAAAATTAAACGTCTGGAACATAACCCTCACGGTAAGTGAGGGACTACTGTACTTTGGAGAAAGTCAAACCAAACAGTATTGCATCCTTCTCTCTAATTGCTTTGCTCCTTTAGTGGTTCTGGGGGTGTCAAGCAGCCGGTGGTCCGCTTCAGACGGAACAAACATCATAAGGGCTCAATTTACTGTGTGGCGTGGAGCCACTGTGGACAACTGTTGGCTACTGGCTCCAATGATAAATATGTCAAGGTGCTGCCGTTCAACGCAGACACCTACAATGCCACAGGTACTGTTGGTCTATTCATGGTACTTTTATTATTTTTATTTGATTTCTTCTGTCACTTGTATATTTTTTACATGCAAAACATCTGCAGAGTTTAAAAAGCTCAAAACCCATGAAAGGGAGTTTAAGTCTGAAATGAATGCTTGTGCAGGCCCAGATCTGGAGTTCAGCATGCACGACGGTACCATCAGGGACCTGGCCTTCATGGAGGGCCCTGAGAGTGGGGGGTCTATCCTGATCAGCGCCGGAGCTGGAGACTGCAACATATACACCACCGACTGTCAGAGAGGGCAAGGCCTGCACGCCTTGAGCGGACACACAGGTTTGTGGGCGTTTTATTTGGAACAGTGTGGAGGAAAAATACAGTTTTATCTATAGCTTAATGTTTTGAATAGTTTAAAAAGGCAACAATGTTACTGTATCACAAGGTAATTAAAATAAACAAAGCTTAAGCGTGCCTCAGTTATCAAATGCATGCATATGGTGTTTTTATTGCTGTGATATTTGAGCAGGTCACATTCTGACTCTGTATACGTGGGGAGGGTGGATGATTGCCTCCGGCTCGCAGGACAAGACGGTCCGGTTTTGGGACCTGCGGGTGCCCAGCTGTGTTCGGGTGGTGGGCACAACTCTTCACGGATCCGGTGAGTCAAATCACAACCAACAATAGCAATAAGCAACCCAACAAAGTTCAGTCAGGTCATCTGGACAGTTAATTTTTTTTTGTTGTTGTTGTTGTTGAGACATTTCATCCTTCATCCAAAGGACTTCATCAGTCCATGGAGCCACAACAAATTCAGTCCCTTAAGCAGCACACTCACATAGTGGGCCAACCAATTTGATGATGTTAAGATGGTTTCTGGTGCTCGCCCTCCTTCCGTCGACTCCTCTGAGGCAGCCACAGTCAAAGTGGTTCAAAACATCAAAGTTCATGCTCAATTATCCAGATAAAAAATCCAACAAAGTTCAGTCAGATCACCTGGATGGTTTCTTTTTTTAAATTTTTTATTTATTTATTTATTTTTAAGAACTGGTGATAAGAAACCATCTTATCATCAGTGAAATGGTTGGCCCTATGTGAGTGTGCTGCTTGTGGGACATGAAGGACAAAACATCAGGAAAAAAAAACAAAAAACATCCAGATGACCTGTCACCTGACTGAACTTTGTGTTTTTTTTACCTGGATTATTGAGCATGAACTTTGATAAATAGAGGAAAATTCATAGATTTACATTAATAAATTACATTTAAATTTAAATGTGCAATTACATTAATTAATAAACAACATTTGGAAGATCGAGCTACAATAAGTAATATCAGTACTTTTGGTAAATAAAGTTTTGCAGCTTTAGAAGTATTAAATCTGCAGCCACAGTTGTTTTAAGGTTGCACTCTTGTTCTACACAGGAAGCGCAGTTGCTTCTGTGGCTGTAGACCCCAGTGGGCGCCTGCTGGCCACGGGACAGGAGGACAGTACCTGCATGTTGTATGACATCAGAGGAGGACGCATCGTCCAGACCTGTCGCCCCCACAGCAGTGACATCCGCTCTGTTCGCTTCTCCCCCGGAGCCCATCATCTCCTCACTGGCTCTTATGACAACAAAATCATCGTCAGCGACTTGCAAGGTGTTAAGACCTAACTTAAAACGAAGAGCACACACAAAAAAAATCCATTATTTAGTTATTAATTATTATTATTTTAACATTTATTTTGGCAACTCATCCTAGAGTTGAAGTTAAATGGTGCGTTCAAGTCCCTCTCACTGCTGTTTTGTATTTAACTGCACAATTTTTTAGTCTCAAATTGATTGTTTGTTTGTCTTACTTTAATCCCAGGTGACCTAACGAAGCCCCTCCCTCAGACACTGGCAGGGGAGCACTGGGATAAAGTGATCCAGTGTAGGTGGCACCCGCACGACCAAACTTTCCTCTCCTCGTCGGCCGATCGAACTGTCGTCCTCTGGGCTCAGAGCCTTTAAAAGTCAACTAACGAGTAGCAGTCGTCATGAGAGCACAGTGTTTACCATCACTCCATTATAGGATCACAATCAGCTGCCGGAAGGTGTGTGTGTGTATTTGAATGTTACTGTGTATGTCTCTCTACAAGAAAAACAAAGTCATTGTTTAAGGGTTAATTTGAGTTTTAAATACATGGGAAATATTTTCTTGTTTCCTTTCAGATTGTGATTTTTTTATGCAGCTCAAATATTAAAACACAACAAAAGAAGTGACACATACTTTCTGTTAGAAGGCATGAATGAGTTCACGGCAAGCACACACTAAAATGAGTTTGTATTGTCTCCCATGAACGCAGGCACAGTTTATTCAAAACATAAAGAAAAAGAAAAAAATGACTGTAATAAGTGCGGAACATTTATTGCAACATTAAGTTTGTTAAGATGCAACTCCTATATTTTCTATCAGAAGCTGGGCCTAGACTCCATGTTGAGTTATGCATATCATAACGTGCCTTTTTGTAACAGTTGTAAAGAGTTTTGGATGTCTGAGTTGACGGAGACTGTTTATTTTATTGTAAGTATTTAAGTATATTTTCTCATATGCCTTGTCAACTGTAAAGTGTGTAAACAATGTGTCATCAGTTTGTGTGTAAAACAGGGAGTTTCCAAATGTGACACTTCAGTAGACATTAAACAGGAAGTGTGTCAGGAAAAAATAAATCATTAGATTTTTAACAAACATTACTGTTTTCATGTTTGACATTAATACACTGAGGTTCACACCATTGGGTTTAAAAAAAATTATTTAGAGTGAAGGTAGACACGTTTAGGTATCTATAAGATGGAGCTCTGATTTTCTAAAACTAATTTGAATCTCTCTGGAAAACTGTCATAATGTCAGATTTCAAACAAGTTAAAAATGTGTGCTTTTACCTCTGATCTGTTTATTTTTTTATATAAAAACAGAAAACAATTTTAACCTTGATGCAACAAAACAAACCCACATCATGATACTACCACCTCATGATAGGATAAAACTTTTGCACTGGAGTTCTTTTTGAAACATTTCTTATTGAAACTACTCTGTTCAATTTGTTTTTGTCTACACAAACAAAACATTTCTAAAGCCCTTCATATCTTTAGACACATTATTTACCGATAAAACGGTGCAGAAGCACACTTGAAAACTCCTGAATGAATCCTTTTCTAAATGAACTGCTGATGAGGTTAAAATGGACTTTAAAGACGTTCAAGAGTCACATTTGTTCGTGATAAATTAGTAGTTTATTTGTGTCAAAAGTAGTTTGAATAAAAAAAATCAAATTTTTTTATGCACCACAATGGTAAAATTTACAGTTAAATGAACTGAAACTACAGGTGAAGAACTGTTTATTTCTAACGCAAAATGATCCATGTATTGAAAGAAAACCACCAGGTTAAAATCAAAACGATGGCTTTAACAAGAGAAACGTTGCAGGACAGCCTTGTGTGAAATGAGCAAATCCAGTCACTTTTAATTTCCACAATCAAGGAGCAGATTTCATCTCTCACTGGTTTTATGTGCTTTTTATTTCTGCACACACAGTGTTGGTGTCCAGCTATGTTGCTTTAAAATGCATTTATGCTTTTGTGTGTTACAAATGTCTGAATCACAAAATGTTTATGTTCACGCTGTTAAAACAATAAAAAAGCTGCTGTCTCACATTTTGTCTTGCTTTTCAATAAAAATAGTAAAAAAACGCTTCAAAGAAAGTCTGCTGTAATAAAACCATTAGGTGAATGCAACAAAGTTCAGTCAGGTCATCTGGATGGTTTATTTTATTGTTGAGACATTTCATCCTTCATCCAAAGGACTTCATCAGCTCACATAGTGGACCAACCAGTTTTATGGTGATAAGATGGCTTCTGGACTCTGCCCTGCTATCCTGTCACTAGCAAACTGGTTGGTCCACTACGTGGGTTTGCTGCTTGTGGGATTGGGTTTGTTGTGGCTCCTCGGACTGATGAAGTCCTTTGGATGAAGGCTGAAACATCCATCGATCCATCCATTATCTTTTACCTGCTTCTTCCATTTTGGGTCACAGTGGTCGCTGGTGCCCATGTCCAGCAATCACTGTGCGAGGGGCGGGGGACACCCTGGATGGGTCGCAAGTCCATCACAGGGACACATAGAGACAAACAAGACAAACAACCATTCACTCTCCCACTCACACCTAGGGACAATTTAGAGTTACCAATCAGTCTAACATGCATGTTTTTGGTCTGTGGGAGGAAACCGGAGTACCCGGAGAAAACCCACGCATGCACGGAGAGAACATGCAAACTCCACCCAGAAAGGCCCCCGGACCAGGATTTGAACCAGGGACCTGCTCGCTGAGAGGCAGCAGCTCTACCTGTTGTGCCACCTTGCTGCCCAGGATGAAACATCTATAAAAAAAAAACGCCCAGATGACCAGACTGAACCTTGGTTTTTTTTTACCTGGATTATTGAGCATGAATTTTGATGTTTTGAACCAGGTTGGCTATGGCTGCCTCAGATTAGTAAACAGGGGCAAGGGCGTGCCCCAGAAACCATCTTATCACCAGCAAACTGGTTGGTCAACTATGTGAGTAAGCCACTTATTGGACTGAGTTTGTTGTGGCTCCTCAGACTGATGAAGTTCTTTGGATGAAGGACAAAATATCTCAACGAAAAGAAAAAAAAAAAACATCCAGATGACCTGACTGAACTTTGTTGGATTTTTTTACCTGGAATGTTGAGCATGAACTTTGACATTAGGTAAATAATTAATGGGTTTTATGCACTTGATGCTTTTCAATTTACTAAAAAAAAAACACAACAACTATTCATTATTGTTCAGTAACAGAACAAAAATCATGCATTGAACAAAATCAAGTGCATGGGGGCAGCCAGTGGGGTGACAGCGGGATGGAGGTTATGGCAGCGAGGGGATTTGCCGCCACTCACATGCTGCACTCGATCATTCCCCCCTTTGTTTCCTGGACAATGAGGGACTGAGGTACAGGGCTTAAAAAGGATAGGCACAGTTAGAGGCAGCGACCCTGGAGCGAGACCGACCAAAGTAAAGGTAACGGAGATAAAAACATCTGGAATTACATAGAATGTGTATTTACTGCACACCCAGGAGGATGAGACTGTCTTTAAGGCGTTAGAGAGCATCTGTGAAGCTGACTATAGGAGGCAGAGATTGAGGATTGGGTCTTTTCCTCTTTATGGAAAATATTTGTGCAGTTTCTGAGCTTGACCTCATTATCAATGGTTTCTCATTATTAGATACTTTTTGATATAAGGTGAACTTTGGTGTGCGTTGGGTTACTTTGGCCTTTTTAAAGAGATGCAAGGAGAAGAAGAGTTTACATCAGCCAATGAAAGGTTGCTGGCCGAGTGACAGAGGGCCTCAGTGCTGACCGGTCTGTTAACTTTTTTGGAACAGTTTGTGATGCCTGGAGGGGAATTAATGGTGAACAAAGGCTCTGATCTGCCTGGCAGGCAGGCCTATTGTCAGACCTGTTGGCTGCAACCGATTTCACAGCACTTTGAAAAGTGTCACTTCATCAGAAAGTTTTAATTAAATTAAGTATTTTTAAGATGTGATAATTTATTTCACTGGTTAAAAAAAAAAAAAAAATCTAGTTTTATGCATTTACTAGTAGGAGACAAAAATAGTTGGTTTGCAGCATTTAGTGAATAATTCCACAACTTAAAAGTGACTAAGGTGGAGAAACCAAAAGGAAACTTTAATGTCAAATTGCATGGAAAACGTGATTTTTATTTTGTCCTCTACTTCCTGAACAGTTGCTGAATGTTTAAAAGGACAGTGTTTTCCAAGTCCTCTCCACGATGCTGTACACTTTAGCAGGAGGAGGCACTCTGTGCGGCGTGGCCACACTCGTGCTTCTCATCGTTTCCACAGCGACAGACTTCTGGATGCAGTATCGATACTCTGGCAGCTCAGCCAATCAGGGCCTTTGGAGGTTCTGCATCAACCACAAATGCCATGCACACACCATCGCTGTGGGTGAGTATCTGACAAGAGGCACGAGGTTCAGAAAGGTTAGAAAACTTGAAGTTCCTCTAAATGTATGTGGATTGTTAAATTCTTGAACCTGATTGAAACCCACTTATTAGAATCTGGACTTTAAGTGCACGTTCATTGTGTGTTTGCGGTCCAGCTTTCTGGGATGCTACACGGGCCTTCATGCTGCTGGCAGTGCTGAGCTGTTTTGCTGGCATCATTCTGGGTCTGAGTGCTTTCACTAATGGCACCAAGAACAAGAGAGTCCGTACAGGTGGCATCGCTCTGGTCCTGTCAGGTAACCAGGAACTATCCCAAAAACAAAATGTTTTACTGAGGCTGCTGACGCGTTGTGACGTCATGAGCTTCAGGAGTGTTTTGGATCAAGTGCAGCTCTTTTCAACGCTGTTTTAACTAATCGTCTTTTGCGTTTTTATACCAGGTTTCCTTGCTCTTCTGGCTTTGGCAATTTACACTGGTGTGACCGTCACTTTCTTTGGTAAACGCTTCGTGGACTGGCGCTTCTCCTGGTCTTACATCATCGGCTGGGTTGCTGTCGTTTTGGCTTTTGCAGCAGGTTTTTAATCATCTTTTTATTTTTTGAGAGATATTTATTTATTGCATCTTATCAGAATAGCTGCTTTGCTTTAGTTTGTATCAAATATATTTTTGCTGTTATAACTAGTACAACCCATGCCTTTTGTGTGCTTGTGAATTTGGAGACGATTAACTCGTCATCAGCATCTCACACCTGATTGACTGCATTTGAAGATGTCCTATGGAATATTAAAGCTAAAACAAACTTATTTTATTTTCTTTAGGTGTGTTTCAGCTCTGTGCTTACAGACAAACCAGTGCTGCACTGGCTCCTTCAAACAACCCGGACAGCTGAGCAGGATGGAGAAGTCACAACTGCTTTCAGTAGAATAAACACAGAATCAGAAAATCCTGTATAGTTTTAATTGTAACTCGATGATCTTTTGTAATAGTTTCTTTTGCCTCCAAAAATAAGTGTCTTTACTATTTGCTTTGCCAGTTTTATGGAATAATGAGACACTTCACACATGGGTGAATTACCTTTGGACAAAAACACTAAAAAGTTTTAAGAATACATTTAATGACAAAGCAATGACTGAAGGTGTAGCTAATCTGATTTTAAACCATTTTCACTTAATCAGACTTTTACAGAACCGAATCTTTAATGAATCAAGTTTAGTCAATGTAAAAATAGTGGGATTGCTTTGCAGCAGTTTTTCAGTGCAAGAGATTCCCCACTAGATGATGCTAAACAACCAACAAGGTACAACTCTGCACAATTTCATTACATGTAAAGTAAAAGTAAAGTGCTAGGTCATCATTGTATGTTCCCATACAATGGTGAAGTTATTGCTTTGCATTTGACCAATCACACCTGGGATACACCCAGGTGGAGCAGTGGGCAGCTGTGTAGGCTGCCAGGGAGCAATTGGGGATTGGGTGTCTTGCTCAGACACACGTGTGGGAATGGCTGGGGATTGAGCCTGGAGCTCTCTGGTCCCGAGTCGGCTGCCCTGCCTCTACCCCATGTTTGTTTCTGGGCATTCCCTTTTCTAGAAGTTCTAACAAATGGTAAAGAAACTTCTTAAATCAAGATCAGTTTTGATTAGACTTTCAACAAACATTGTATTTTTTGTAATGTCATTACATCGAGGGTATTGATAGGCCTGTCACGATAAACAATCAAATTAAATCTCATGATAAATGAAAATTATCTACCTCACTTTCATTTATTGGCTTTATCGTTTGTCTGTTTCTACTGAAGACACTGGATGACAAAAAGCTCAACTCTGGTGCTCTTCACTGACTCGTCCCTTTCTCTTTAAAATCCATTTCCAAAATTGAGATTTTGGATTGCTTGTAGCCAAGCTGAGAAGTTAAGCTACAAGCCAAGCCAACAGGCTGACCTCTGGGAAAACAAAAGTCCTGTTTTTGTTGAAGCTTCAAAATTCAGTTTAAACCCGTGCCTTCATATAAAAAGTTTGTTTTTCTGAGAAAAAAAAAAAAGTCGAGAACTTGTTTACCGATTAAAAAATTTTTTTTTTTATATAAAGCTTTGTGTGAAAAATGCTATGCTAATTAGCTCAAACCACTCTAAGCATCCGCCATTTTGAGAACCAGACAGCTCATGTCATGTCAAGGGGTCTCCCTCCCATTTTTCTTAAAGACACACTGCTCACTCCCTCACTATCCATCCTGCCGTTCAGTCTTAAACTGCCATCCAGTGGTTAAAAAAAAAAAAAGGTACTACACACAAAACACAAACTTACATTTGACAATTACTAATTGTCAAATTTCAAACAATATCATTTATCGTAATAATTTTTGAGACAATTAATCGCCCAGCAAAATTTGTTATCGTGACAGGCCTAGGTATAGACTATTTTAACGATGGTATAGAAAGCCAGCATATTGAATGAATAAACTGAATGACACTCCCCAAGTCCAGGTACACCGTTCATTCAAGCAGGAATACAAAATGAAAAAAAAAAAAAATATATCAATATTATTTCCAAACATTTGTTTTATTTTACAATAGCAAAGCAATCTCCCAGAGATTACTTTAAATTACACAGAATGCGAATAAATACATAGAGAAAGCCATAGTAGATTTAAGGACATGGACAATTGGTACAAAATTATTTACAATACTCTAGTGCAAAAATCACACAAAAATGGTCCTCATCCAGAGTGTTGAAACGGTCAACAGGAGGACAGTTTGTGAGTGCTGCCCCCCCGGTGACGTTTGTGGTTTGGTAAAAACATTTGCATTATTCACGACACTTCTGGATGAGGATGTAGCAGAAGTTGATTCACTCACTACAGATGTTGAAATATGGTATGGACACGTTTTGTTGGGTTAAAAAACAAAATCAAATGAGGGGAAGAACGAAGCAGCAAGCATTCTCAGGAGCTCAATGCAGTTAATTTAAAGTCGAGGATTTTTATTCTCCCTCGTAAAGAAGTCGAGGAACAAAGAGGTGCAAAACGTGAAACCCATCATGAACATTAGACAATGACACGACAAGCTGGAACAGCTAAAACCAAATGGCAGGTTGTGCCCACCAACCCTGAGTGAAATTAATTTGTAATAAAACAAAACTGAGCACAATCAAATCCCACAGAATGCCAGCTTTACCATTTCTCCCACCAATCAAACAGAGACGTGTTGGATGGCGACAGGCACAACACGTTTTTAAAGTGCGCTCGCTCACTTGAGCTGTTCCTCACTCATTTCTTTTAAAACCATTTCTTCCTGACCAACACGAAAGCTTCACTTAAAAACAGCACACAAACATAAATTACTTATTTTTCATGCATATTTTGTTGCATATTGAAATTTCCTTTTTAGGACCATTTGCTTTGCTTTTGAAAATTCAAGACCTTACAGGAAATGTGGGTATAAAGTTTCCTTTGATAGGAGCGAAATGTATGAACAGTTTCAGTCGAGTGTCGATGCCTGCAGACACATGCATTAAAATACATTACCAGTGATTAGTCCTCCAGACGCCAGTCTCTGAAAGGTTTGTGCTTTAGCACAAAATGCTAGTTTTCCTGGTAGGTGGCACAGTTAAAACATTTCAACCAGACAGAATTAAAACCCAGTCTCAAAGACTAAAGTCATGGAAAACTGTTGAGAAAGCAGGTCTACACCTTTGAGACAACCTTCTTGTGTCTTGTTGTGCTAAGTACTTGTGCACTGATGCATTCATCCAGCAGAGACTGGAAGGAAAACTGAGCAATGATCATTAAACAAGTTTAAATCATGCCAAAGACGAGGAAAGTAATACTGCAATCATTACTGATTTGAGAGAGAGAGAAAGGATAAGACCATCAGGAAATCATGGAGCCTCGGTGGATTGAGCTACATTTAAGATTTTAGTCATTCCATCCCACACCAGATCACAAAAGTTTAAAACCAGTTGAACCAAAAACTTTCTGAATGTAAAGATGGAGACAGGACTGAACATACGGTTTAGCGATAAGAGGTTAGAGAAGAGAGAGAAAGTCATCCTCGTGCGCTCATGCAAAAGATGTGCACTGTGCGCATCTTTGGCTATGCATAGCATTATGTCTCCAGTATTGAGGTGCAGTAAAAAGCACTACAGCAGGCTAATGCTGACTGGTATAGCCCTATTCAGACTGCATGCTCAGGGAGAAGAGGACAATGGGCAACGGAAAATTCACAGATGTGGAACACTTTCTGCAAGTGCCCGACAACTTGGCTAGTGTGGCACCTTGCAGGGTTTGAGCCATTTGGCTTTGGTATTAACGGTCACGCTGCAACCAGGCAGTGTGAGAACAGTTTTGGCTTGGCTCTGGGTGACAAAGCTGTGGCATGTCCTTTAGTTTATCGCACAAGGAGGAAGTGTAGCTTTTCAAGTTAACATCTCTGAAATTGCACTGGTTGGCCACTCTCTCTGTGTAACAGCACAGGCCATGTTGAGATCAAAGTCTGAGTACATTAAAGGTTGCCCTTTGAGTTCTGCTGAGAAGATCTTCCAGTCATGAGTCCACCAATCTTGCTCTCCATTGCCGACTGTTACGTTTCTTTATGATACCTGTTGAGAGCAACGAAAGCTGTAAGATCAGTGCAACAATGATGAATACAGTTTTTGTAGGGGAAAAAAACCCCTGTTCTAAACTACCAGAATGTGTCACAAGAATGAGAACTTTAACAGTAGTTTTATCGAAAACTAGAGAGTCTTGATGTCATTTCAGCTGAAGTGGTTTTTCTATGACTAAGCTAAGAGAAGATGTCAAAGTACTCTGACATACTGGAGCAAACACTTAAAGAAAGCACCACAAATGTTCAAGAAACTACAAAAAGATGAAGAATCGATAATAAAAGTGTTAAAGACAGGCATGATTTGGCTTGTACCAACTCTACAGTTTAATTACTGGCTGAAGTTATGGAGGTTATGTTTGTTAGAAACTTAACTCTATAAACCAGCGGTTTGACACAAACACTTAAACCCATCGTTCTTGAATGGGCTTTTAGTTTGTAGTCGTTGAATACTGCATTTCACCCACTTCCTTTTCTTAGTTTGGTACTTGTGAATTTCCATTTTGGTTGGGTTTTACACCTGCACCAAGAGAAAACTTCTGCCTTTTGTAATTCTAACAGAATGTATAAAACTTCAGACAGCAACAAAGTGCAAAAACAGTCACTGCAGATCTGAGCATTGATTAAAAAAATTGGGCCTCACATCACTAAACATGACAGGATAATAAAAGCTATATACTCATGAGTTTTAAGACTATTCAAGTGAAAAAGATGGAGCTCAATTTACAAAAACTAAACGACTACAAAACAAAAACCACAAACTGAAGTTTGCAGATTCGCCCACCAGGTGGAAGCACTAAACAGTTCAGAATTTAAAGCGGAGAGATTAATGCAAGCTTTTAACCTATAAAGTTTCTATTCAACAGCAAGGTGTTATGTACCAGTGTTCATTCATTGTGGGCATCATAAGCTGTCCAGCACAAAGCAACAAAAACACAAATGAAAGGAGACATCTTACCCGTTCTGTAAAGTGAACTCTGGCAGAGCACCGAGGGATGTTAGTTGTTCCTCAAGGGCCACAATTCGCAGAGCGATGTAACCCGAAGACAGAAGCAGCAGCACAACCCTGGAACACGGATAACATTTCACACTTTAGGACCAGCTGCACCAAACTTTGTTCTATAACAACTACACAAAAATAATGAGAAAACAAAAAAAAATCACTTAAGAAGGTAAACTTAATGTAAACAGTTTAACAAAACACTAATTACAAACATCACATAACAGATTACAGATTTGAAAAGAATCTTATTTGTAACCAGGAAAAAAAAAAAAGTTTTCTTAAGGGATTGTGACTTTCAGAGGGAGAAGTAGATTATGAAAAGATTAAACCAGGGTTCCCAGCATTTCATCAAAACAAAACAATCAATATAATTAATTATATATCATCAGAAATTAAAAAGCTACCATGGCCAATCAGTGTGGAGACATGTACTTTGTACACTGTAGGAGCAGAACGTGGACTCAGTGATACTAGAACACTATAGCATTAATGTACGCACACATCAAAACTTCTAAAAGATCTTTTAAACGAGCAAATCACTTCAAATTCCCTGAGTTTTCCCATCTTAAAAAGTTTTCCTTTGTTTGCAGAGTTGCTGGGAACCCTGTAAAAGAGCTGAGCGGGAGGAGACGGGACAGACAAAAGAAAAGTGGTGCTGCTTACAAAATCAAGTAAATGAAGAGAAGGGTGTTGACGGTGCTGGCCTCCCTCTGAACCAGCAGAGACTTGGCTTTCTCCGTCACATTCCACACCCACGATCCACCTGGAAGGTAAACAAAGCATGAATATCATGACTCTTTCTTTCCATTTCAGATTATATCTATTCATCAGCATCCAGCCTGCTTTTTGTTCTCTGTCACGGCAGCTTGAATATAAAGTCCTACCTGACTCTGAGAGCTCCTCTGAGGATGAGCTGTCACTTTCCTGCATGTGCAGGCTCCTGAAAGCTGAACAGTTTCCATTAGGCACTGCTTCTACAGGAGGAGGAGATAAGAGACAAATATCAATGTTAAACTTCTTTCAGACCTTGAACTTTGAATGTCTAGTCTTTTACAGAAATGAGAAGATAACAGCAGCAAAACAAACTTTGTTTTGCTTTAAGTCAATCAAAAATGAGCATTTATTTAAGCCTTAAAAAAAAGGACGAACATGTTTAATTTCTAAAAAAAAATTGCAAACATCTGTTACACCAGTAAAGTAAAACAAAAACAAAACTTGGCAGACAAGCACAAAGTACAAGAGAGCTTTGAAACCTACCTCTGTGAGGCTGGTCCTGCAAAGATGGAGTTCCAGAACCATCTGTGTGGTCGAAGCTGTCGTCCAAACTGGACTGGCTGGAGTTCTGTGTGACAAAAATAAATAAAAAGTTTACTTCAGAAACAAGTGATCTAAATGATCCCTCCTATACTATTGATTCTTATAAAAAACACTTCAGTAAAGTGTACTCGTATAACTTTAGACAGATTACTTTTTGCATTTTATTTGACTTTAGTCCACAAAAGAAACTTACCACAAGTTTGTTCTTTTCAAAGCTGTTTTCGCCTGAGAAGATGGGGCTACTGTTTGTGCTACGGTCCTGGAAGACAAAGAAAACATAGAACATTAGATTTCTGACAAATAGTCTGAACTTTGAAAGTTATAGAATGTACTTTTGTATTCTGCACTAACATGACACGATCTGTCAATCAATCCAGTAGAGTCAGCAACTGACCAATCAGTGGAGAACATGTACGGTAATTCAGACACACGCTACTCTGAGTGTTTAGATGGTGGAATACAGTTTATTCCATTAGCAAAACCTGAACGGAGTCGGGAAAAATGTAAAAGATGGATAAAAGCCTGAGGCCGACTTCATGAGCAGCTGAATACAGCAGTGATAAATGGGAACTACCACGTTTGTCTGTACGAAGGTAACTGCAAGTAAATAGTTTTTCTTGTCAATTAAATTGTATGGTTAATGTTTAAATTAAAGGTTAATGTTTAAATTAAAGGTTAATGTTTAAATTAAAGGTTAATGCTTAAAGCTAGCTGTGCTTTGTTTTGGGTGTTTTATATGTAGATGTTAAAAATTCTGGTTGCACAAGTTTAGTCTTTGAAATGTTCAGTTACACTAAATTGATATTGCACAAAGTGTTTCATTTGTGGTGTAAAGTAAAATTTACACTCTTGATACATACAGAGTTTCACTGAAAGGCAAAAATGCCTCACTAAATGTCTCAGGCAACGTTGTGAGCTTCACCACCTCAGCCATTACAGACATCTTGTTCATATGTCAGGTCAGCTCACCCTGGGTTATATTTCCACATGGGTCAAGCAATCTTACCGTCTGTCATGTAAGTTGCAAAATGGAAGTAGATTGGAAACAAATTAGACTCACTGACAAAGAAAGTTGCAACTTCGTTGCAACAAAGCAGCTGAAACACTGTACTTTTACAGTCTTTCACAACAACCATTAGCCAACTCTAATGCAGCCTCAATGTTTGTAGTGTCTTAACAGCAGCAGAATCGGGGTTTTTTTTTGTACTTTGTGATGTTTGGCCCAAGCTACTCACCTCTACCTGAGGACAAATGGAGCGCAGCAGCTGGTAACACGATTCTCTGTTCCGCAGCGACACAAAGAGGTACTGAACAATGACAAGAAAAGAAAAGCCATCTTTCTAGTAAATCTAATAAAAATCATCTCTCAAAAATAAATAAATTTGCTTTTGAGCATGATGCTATGATGGACTGGAGGTGATAAACTGACCTTTTCTCCTTCTGTGGTACGAATCGACAAGGCATTTGGTACCAGCAAAGCTGTATTCTGCTTCTTGACTGTGCGGATGGAGGAAACTGGAATTATAACCTGGAAAAGAAAACAAGTATAAAGATCAAACTTAGAAATCAGTTAAAGGCTAGATAAATATGTGCCAGGTTCAAAAAGAGGCCTACCTTGGTGTCCTTGAGCAAAACTGAGGAATAAAAATAGGCATAGGTTTCAGTGATGTAGAGTCGGCCATGATATGGCACTTCCCTTTGCAGGGCACAGATGTATGCTGGGAGGACAGAACAAACCTTTTTAGTGTCAGTTGGACAGTTTGTCATCATTTAAAATGATTTTTATCTCATTAAATGTTACCATGTATTAAGTCTTCACTCTCAGGAATGTCTGGAAACAACCTGTGGAATGTCTTGTTGTGTTTTGTGAAGCTCTGAAACAAGAAAATTCATTTTTGAAATTTAAAGGATAAAATACTAAAAAGAGATTCACAAAGATCCTGCTGATAATTACATCATGGTTTACAGTAAAAGCTGAGATGCACTCACACTTTGTGTGCCAGTACCGTCTGTCCTCTCGAAGCTTCTGCTGTCAACTTCAAATGTCTCCGACCTGCAGAGACACAAAGCCAGCTGTCGATGTTAACAGAAGCACAACATGAACACATTTCAAACGAGACCTTTCTAAAACATACTTAATGTGGACATTCTCTACCAACTCTGATGAGCCAACAAAAGCTTATTATGAGCATTATCAATACTGCAGGAGAGCCAATTACATTTGAACAGCTTAAATAAAAATACACAGCAGAGAACGAGTGAGAAAATCATTCTATTGTCTTGATGTTTTCATTCACTTTATTTCTCAATGCTAACAGAGAGCTTTGCCTAAAGCCACACAGACAGGCAGCAACAGCCCAACATTCATCTTTTCATCATTTATCACAAATATATTTCAAATACTTGAATCATGTGATGAAAAAGCTTTCAATGAGTGTGAAGTCATGTGTGTGTCATGACTGCGCAGCAGCTGAGAGTCAGGTCTTGTGATGAATGAATAAAACTTTGCTACAGTTGCTGTGACTGTTTCCCTGGGAGTCCTACCTGATGGCTACTTGTCTGGTGAGAGTTTTGTGTTGCTGTTGGATCTCGAGCTGGGCAGCCTCTAAACTCAAGGCTTTCCTCGCCTCCACCTTCTTGATGCTGCCATTGCTCAGGGTGCTCCTGCTCTTCTTGGCTTTGGCTGGCAGTCCACCACCACCTTCCACTGGGTAGCTGCTGGATAGAGGCAAACAAAAAGGAGAGAAACATGTTTAATCTTTCAAGCAGCGACTTGCATGAAAATATGAGCATGCAGAATGCATTTGTTTTGGGGAGACCGTTGTATAAACAGACATGTCACAACAGAATTACGGTTCTTGCATTTTTACCACTATGAAATGCACAAATCATCAAGTTACAACATCTGCTGATAAAATCTACTGCACGTCTTCTAAACCTCAATTAAATTTGACATTTCCTCCCCTTTCGGCTGCTACTTCTTCAGGGGCCTCCACAGCGAGCACAATTGCATGAAACCTCAAATATATACACAGTATATGTATTTAAGTCTACCATTGCAATTTATAGGAATCCAAAACAGTTGAAAACTATAATAAAAGTTGAAAACCCAACATTTAACAACAAACAAAAGCCTGAACATCCGTCATATGTAAAACCACATAAACAACCAAACCAAAATTTCTGTCCTTACACAGCAGCTTTTACAGAAACTGTTGGCATTTTGCTTTTCAATCATTTAGACGGAGTTGAGAAAAATAATTTAACTCCCTGAAAACTCAAGTTAAAAATATGTATCGTCAGAGAAAAGCTTAATCTTTATGATGTGCTGGTAGCGTTCATCATTTTCCTATAAAAAAATAAAATGTTAATGATGCACGTATCGTCCGCACTCAGACTAAACAAATGCTCATCCTTTCCAATCAGCTCCGTGTGATCTTAAATACACATCAGACTGGGCATTTTCATAGTGTGTGTGTGTGTGTGTGTGTGTTGGAGGGGATAACTACAGTCCGTAAATCTTTGAAAACCATGGCCTGTCCTTGACCAGAAAACAAACCCCATATTAACTGAAAGAACAGAGTAACCTGAAGGATAAACACAGACCAATAAACATGTCTACCATAACCGATTATGTAAATAAAGTATATGAGGAAAGTTAGATTTTTTGTAAACTAGATTTCACAAAAGAATAAATCAACTTTTAGATTGCTAAAACATAAAAAAAAGCTCAGAGGCTTACCTGCTAATTTTAAATCGCTTTGTTGAACGAAAACCTATATACCTACTCACAGTAGGCATTTCTTGTTCTACCAGATGGTCAAAATTAAATAAATAAATAAATAAAAAAACACAAAATCGGTTCAGTCTGAAAAATATAAACAGCTACAAACAAAGCAAGAACACGACTCTTCTACTATTGTAGCCCAAGACAAGTGTGCTAATTACGCTCTTTGCCACATCCTGACAGAAAAAGCTCTGCCGTGTTCTTTAGGATTCTGCTGGCAGAGCGGAAGCCACTTTGTGTTTGACGGTGGTGTGACACTCCGTAGTGGGTGACGTCAAGCACAGCCACACCTCCCAAAGCCAAGTATGCATGAAAAAGACCAGCCAATACATAGTCCCTGCCTTCTCCCCCTCCCTGTCTTACACAAGGACACATGCAGAGTGAGACAAGCAATTACATGTTTATGTGGATGGCCAATTCCACAAATTCTTCCACTAATTCATATTAATCCTGTCTGACAATCCAACGTCTTTATGTGAAGCAGGATGAGAACGTCTGTATCTAAGCAAACAGAAGAATTTCCTTCCTTTAACAAACACCTCAACTATCATGTAAAACTGAGGCAAGATCAGCTGATGGATATTTATTTTACCACCTGAAATTCAAAAGCTTTGGCAATACAAATATTAGAGATATGGTTGACTTATTAGCAAATGAACTTATCTAAACACATGGGAGGAAAAAAAAAACAAACAAAAAAAACAACTGTCATAACTACCGGTAATTCTGGGCATTTGTTTCATACCACTAAAGCAATCAGAAAAAGCATCACAACATTTTACTATGTGGCTTATCGTTTTACGACTTCTATTCTTAGTACAGTAAACTTTAATAACTAATGCGTGACTGGAAAAATAAAGCGATAGAAGTTTATAAATGTAATTTCAGTGGGAGGGCTAACCTACAACTGGTTTGGCAGTCATGTTAACATTCAAGGTGTCAATCATTAAAGTACAGAACAATAAATCTTAAGGTTTCAATGAAATGCAATCATTTACGAGTGTGCTTAAATTTATGGAAAACCAAGTTTATGGTTAGTTTTATCTATACTTTGTTCTCCATCAATAAATGTGTTCTATAGTTGAGGATAGAGTAAAAAAAAAAAAACGAACATTTGCACAAGTGAAGAAAAAAACAACTATATAAAAGTGTTTAGCTACAGCTTCATGTGCATTTATTTATTACACTTGGGCGGGGGTTAAAACACCAGGACAATTGAGTCAGTATTCAAATGCAATTAAACAGCAGGACAATTTCCTCTTTTTAATCTGTCATGACAAACTGTTTTACTTCAGAGTAAGAAGCTAATGTACATCACATGCGTCAGCATTCTGAGGTAACAAACTAAAACCCAAACTAGTTGCTCATTAGTGCCAACAGTTACTAATGATTCATCATTAGTGGAGAGTCAAAACTCAAAAACAAGCAGCATTTCAAGTATCCAAACTATCCATTATATGTTTTATATATAGGGGGACTGAGGATAAAATGGTAAACAGTTAAGCATAACAGAAGTACTCAAGATTAAAAAGTCATGTTATGGCAGACATTGCATGACAGCAATTAAAAGAGGGGAACAAAAATAAAAATAAATAAATCACTTGACCACAACAGGATAAAGACAGACTTTGTGTTTAGATGACCTACGCCCTCTTTAGCGGAGCGGTTTGAATTAGTAGTTTGCATTTACAAAGCAGAAGGTGACCTGTAGGATGGTGCATCATCCACAATGAGGAATTGACCTCTGGCCCACTTCCCTGATGGAAGTAGTTATGTCATAACTCCAAGGGGAAAAAAACAAAAACATTTTGAACATAGTATATACACACATCATCACTAAAATTAAATTATCGGTACGCACAACTAAACATTAAAAGTATCTTTAAAAAAAACAAAAAGATCAAAATAAACAATGATAATCGCAAGTGCAGTTTCTCTCATGTTGAACCTTACACCATGCCTTGTCCCGAGACAAAGCTCACATTAATTTACCAGCATTTGTTCCAGTAACATCTTACAAAGACACCCATGCCACACCAGGTTAACACCCTCGTCTGCTTTACAGATCACCTGTCTAATACAAAAATTAAAGTATTGCTTTATAAACTGAATACTTATTCATATATCCTGATGCATGCTCAATAATCCAGGTAGAACAATCCAAAAAAGTTCAATCTGGTCCTCTGGACATTCAAAAAAACAAAAAACAAAACAAAGCAAAAAAATCTAGAAACGTTTCGTCTCTCATCCAAGAGACTTCCTCAGTCTGAGGTGCTGTTTTCAGCTCAGTCTCTTAAATA